TATATTCGGGGGAAGAAGGTAGGACTTTTGCACTGAATTACAGACGGGATTGCCGTCAGATACATCCAGGTCGAGCCGTAAATGCGGTCAAATACATTTAAGATATAGAGCTACGTAGTGTGAGTACGCGCTTTACTGTAGAAGGGGGGGGGGGGGGGCAAGTCCCACTAACAGCGGTGAGCTACCTCAACGCCTGAATCTGGACGCTTTTGCGGAGATGTGCAGAAATGGTGTGGAGTTTCCTGAACTGAACGTCTCCACAAACACGTCCAGATTCAGGCGTTGAGGTATAGCTCAACGCTGCTAGTGGGACTTGGCCCCGGGAGAAGGACGAGATTACCCAGCCCCCTGTGGCTGACGAAACATCGAATGAAACTTCAACGCAACACAGGAATGAAACGTCAATGAAGTTTCTTGTTGATTATCAGTGAGCGTGTGGAGAAGCAATTGGCCAATGCTTGTCATTCTTCTTCTTTGTGTTTTTCCTTCTTTTCTTTTTTTTTAATAATGTACACACAATAACTCTTTACAAGTTGGAATCCGCTGGAATACTCACGTTACGACTTCCCTGGATGTATCAGACCCGAACTCTACCACGACATCGATGCATCTGACCGCAATTACGTCTACGTCCAGAGCTCAGTCCAAAAGTAACATTTTACAAGTTGGTATCCGCTGGAATCAGGGCATCTATACTCACACTACGACTTTCCTGGATGTATCAGACCCGAATTCTACCACGACCTGGATGCATCTGACCGTGATTACGGTCAGATGCATCGATCTAAAAATACCTTTTTACAGGTTGGAAGTCCGCTGGAATCAGGGCATACTCCCACGGGTACTTCCCTGGATGTATCTGGCCCGAATCCTACCACGACCGGGATGCATCTGACGCCGCAATTAGGTCCCGAGCTTAGTGCCAAAAAAGTCCGACGGTCTTCACCCGAATAAAACGCCCGGTCAATATCGCTGCATCTGGCCTGAAAGTCGCCCCAAATACAGCTATAATGACCGGGCGTTCTATTCGACTGAAGACGGTGGAGTGTGAGTATGCTCTCAGATGCATACATTTTACGTCAAGAGCACAAAAAAAAAAGACACCCCCCCCCCCCCCCCACCCCCAAAAAAAAAACAAAAAAAACAACCAAATATGCACATGTCCGACAAACCCAGGCCCTAAATCACACAGATGAAGCCACCGTGTTCTCACGAATAGAACGCCCCCGGTCATTTTGTAGCTGTATCTAGACGGAAAGGTGCCCCAAATACACGTACAACGACCGGGCGTTCTATTCGGGAGAACACGGTAGCCAGCGGCACAGTCCCACTAGCAAAGACGACTGAATGCTTAAGCACCTGAATTCACAGAGACTACTGTCGCGATCTTGCGCACCTCTCCACAAACACGGCCAGATTCAGAAGCCGCTAATTCCAATCCTCTTTCCTAGTGACCCTGGTCTCTATGAATGAATGCATCTAGCCGTCCGATGGTCTGTATATTGACCTGATTTCAATGGAAATGCAGAACCTGCACTTGGGCACATCTGCACCATTCGGCGATCATAACCGACAAGACCTCATCGAGCTGGTTTACCCCCCCCCCCCCTCCCCCCTCCTCACTGACTCATCAGTTGATGAAACTCCGAAGAGACCGTCTATTACAGCACCTCGTTGGTTGTCCTCCGCCCGTACGGTTCACAGCACGGTTCCTTATGACGATATTCATCATTTCTTAATTTTAGGAAAAAGAAAAAAAGAAAAAAAAAACTGGCTTCAGAACGTTCCAAGATATACATATTTCCCTAACTATGCCATCCAAAAAATGCAATCTATTTCACAAAATCAAACGTAAATTTAAAAAGTGCCGGTCCCCCCTTTATATACACACATCTATACATACATTATGACACATTCGATAGTATATACATCGTCACAAACAGAACTGCCCGGTAAAACCGTAGGCAGATAGAGAGAAGAGGACAACAAACGAGGGGTTCGATAGTATATATATATATACATATATATTGTCACATGATATGAAAGCGCCGAAGCGAAAAAAACGAAAGAAAACAAGGAAAGCAAGACAAACTTCATAATTCATTTTTTAATCTTCTTCCTTACAAGTCCCCCTGTTCAGAACCTCTTTCGCGTACAAGGCCGCCACGTGGATGTAGATTGAAGGCCGCCCACGTGGATGCAGGTTGAGCTGAGCGGCGGCTGCCCCCACCCCCGTGTGTCCTATCGACCCACTTGCACACAGCCAAAGGGCAAAGAGGCAAAGAAAAGAGGAAGGGAACAGCCAAATAATACAGAACAGGGGGCAACAAAACAGATCCCAGATGACACGTTCCACATATGCAAGCACCGCCCCAGTCCTACACAGGCTAAACGACGGGACAAGACCAATCCGGATGTCAAGCATTCTTGTCTGCAAAAAAAAAAAATCAAAAAGAACCCCGAGGACAGGTATAAAAAACAATCCTGGATGATGATTCCCCCATGCAAGCACCGCCCCGCTCTCTTTTTTTTTTCTTTTTTTTTTTTTTGGAAAACCGCCCCGCTTTCCAAAAGGCCGAACAACGGGAAACAACCAACCAGGATGCCAAAACATGAAGCACAGCTCCCTGCTTAGACCGAATAACGGGACAGAACCAACCGGGGGATGCAGACAAGATTACCACAACAAAATAAAATACCCCAACATATATGTATATATCGTCACAAACAGAACTGCCCGGTAAACCGTAGGCAGAGAGAGAGAAGAGGACAACAAACGAGGGGCTGTGTATATATATATACATATATATATATCGTCATCATCGAAATGACGGGCGCCAGATTAAAAAAATTGAGATTTATTTATTCCCATTCATCCCGGTCCATCAGGATACGAATTTGGGTCGGTATTTTAGAAGAAGGTAAGCAATGGCCGAATTGCTCTTCACACGCAATCGAAAAACTTCATTTAATAAAATAATAATAATAATAATAATTTTAAAAAAAAATCCATTTCATACCAGCGAGTTCCCTCTCCTATTTCCCGCAATGCAGTCGATGCTGTTGTGCGGATGGTTTCCAAAAAAAAGAAATAAAAAAAAGGTCGTTCTGCGAAAAAATTGGAGTGCAGTTAAACCTCTCTCCTGAGAGGTTAATCACTGCTGATTTCCTGTGTAGGGTGCTCTGATTTATACATTATACGGGACGCACGTGGACCAGTTTCCAGACCAGGAGCAGCTGTCCAGCAAAAGATTCGGAACATCACAAATCGAGGGAGCCCAGTCTAGGAGGCTGCTCGTACCACTTCCCTAAAAAAGGAGGACGTCCGACGGTACTTTCATTTATACAAAATTAAGCAAAAAAAAAAAAAAAACACTCATTTTTCAATGCCAAGGAGTCGTCAATACACCCATATTCTGAAAGGCATAATTAATCAATGATTTAATTAAATAATAAAAAACACGCCCTGATTTTTCGAACAGTCAGTGTCCTGTTAGTCATGCACAGGGGCCACCATGCTACCCCTCCGTCTCCCCCTCCCTCCTCCCCCTCCCCCCTTGCCAGGCTTCTTCCAGCAACCATTCGAATTCTGATCTTTCCGACTAATCCTCTCTCTCTCTCTCTCTCTCTCTCTCTCTCTCTCTCTCTCTCTCTCTCTCTCTCTCTCTCTCTCTCTCTCTCTCTCTCNTCTCTCTCTCTCTCTCTCTCTCTCTCTCTCTCTCTCTCTCTCTCTCTCTCTCTCTCTCTCTCTCTCTCTCGCGCGCGCGCGCGCGCGCGCACACAGACACGCGAAGAGAAAAGGGAATGTGGCTTCTGTCTGTCTACCAGAAGATGTTCAAATTCTGCGGTGAAAATCTCTGTCCTGACTGTGATTCCACAGAGAAAACGACAAAGAAAAAGAAAAAAAATGTATATATATATATAAAAAGAAGATAAAAAATGAATTTATTTCTTCTTTGTTTCGCATTTGCGCTCTGATAAACTTGTGACGATATATATATAAAAAAAGAGGAAGCAACCTCTCAGTCTCTGCTTCGCTCTCGCGGAACTACGTCGACCACGAGTCTAATGTTTAGCGCTTACTCTTTAGGCGGGAAACGGTTCGTCTGGACACACAAGCCACCCCGTTAAGGAAAACGCGGGAAACAGTTCGTCCCGATAGGCACTACCGGGATCTGGAAAGACCGGGTCGGTATCGGTCGGACATTTATGACCGACTCATTAAAATCAATTGCTTGATTTGGTCGACTGATTGGATGATGGGATTGATTGATTGATTGATTGATAGATAGATTGTTTGCTTGATTTTCTGATTGATTGTTCGATCGATTGTTCGAGTGATTGTTGTTTTAATTGATTGATTTACTCGAAGCCGCTGCTCCCCTTTCTTAGCATCAATTCCACAAACACCAGGAGCACCGTGACCACCAACACCATCATCATCATCATATCCCCTCATCCTCCCCGTCAATATGAACAGCGGCCCACACGTTCTATTGATTCATACATTGATTGATACGTGCATGTTGAAGAACAGAGCAATCAAGTAGTAGCCAATGGACCAATCAATCATATGGTTGGTCGACCAATGTGTGTGCAGCAATCCCAATCAAGCAAGCGGTTCGTCGACGAATCAATCCGTCAGAAACGCAATTCATCAATCGGCCCACCACTCAATCAATCAATCAATCAATCAATCTAGCAGCGATCCATCTAGCGTTTCCTTTTTCGTTTTTTTTTAACTAGCGTCATCAATGAATCCAGATTGACGGATACAATTGATAAGACGTATCTCAACTTCGATTTTTATTTTCAGGAGTTCAATTGCCCGACGGAAGATTGCTTGATTGCTTGATTGCTTGATTGCTGCCACGGAGCAGGGAAAACAGATGTATGCCAAATACCACACACAATCCCCTCTCTCTCTCTCTCTCTCTCTCTCTCTCTCTCACACACACACACACACACGCACACACACACACACACACACACACACCAACCTTTCTGCTTGCTTGGCCGGTCACTCTTCGAATTCTCTCCCTCCCTCCCTCCCTCCTTCCCTCCTTCTCCCCAACGGCTCGCTTCCGGTATTGCCTTCGGCCCGAGAAAAACGCGCCTGCTGTCCGCCGGTCGCTGCGCTCTGCCTCCAACACCCCAAGAGCCAGAATGAAGACATCACCGCGAACAGTCGAAGAGAAAGCACATTTCGTATAAAAATTGCAGTCGCGCAGCGCACAGCTCAGCAGGTTCTGCAGACGCGCTGACAGCAGCAGCAGAGCCCCTGAAGACCCCTGCGCGCCGCTGCAGACCAGTACAGCCGGGCCCGCAGACCCCTGCAGATCTTTCACTGTCGCACACTGCCGCATTCTTGTCCCACACACTACCGGTACCTGGCGGCAGCCCATTATCAGCGCCTACTCAACGCCGTGACTTTCGGGCAAGTTCCTCGCCCTATTCACGACCACATTCATTATGAGTTATGAGTCGTGCTGACATGATTGGAGTTGCTATATTCTTCTGACACCTCCCCGCTCTCCCGCCAGCTCCCCGCTAATCCCGCCAGTTCCCCGTCATTCCCCGCCAGCTCCCCGCTAATCCCGCCAGTTCCCCGTCCTTCCCCGCGTAATAGCCAATGGCTGCCGCTCTTCCCGCCAGTTTCCCGTTTGCACAAACGCCTGCACATATCTGTCCTGTAATTTCCCATTTTTATTTTCTGTTTTATTTTTATTTTTATTTTTTTTTGGCGGTTTCCTCCGCGAGCAGTTTATTACCAAATTAGCTTTAGCTCCCCTTTTTTCTTTTTTCTTTTTTCTTTTTTCTTTTTTCTTTTTTTTTTTGGGGGGGTCGACGTCCTTGGGCGGGGTCCCACTAGCAAAGAGGATCGGAGCGAATGCCGGAATCTGGACGATTTTACGGAGATGTGCAGGAAATCGAGATTGAACTGCTTTTCTGCATCTGTGCTTAAAACACATCCAGATTCAGGAGCTCGATCCTCCTCCCTTTTGCTAGTGGGACCTCGGCCCGTGAGAGACGACATCGAACTGACCGGCCGGCCGCCGCCGGCTACTTCAGAGCTACTATTATTTCCTATAGGTGATTGACATGAGGGGCCTCACCAAATGTGCAAAATGAGAATGAATGCACCGCCAAAACATGGAATAATGCATTGCCATCTTTTTTGTCGTTTGTGCGTGTGGAGAGTGGTGCAGCGAGGCTCATGGATTCGAACTCGATGGGCTAATCAACAACAGTTACATGAGGAAAAAAAAAAAAGGGAAAAAAAAAAAAACAGTTACACGGTCGTCCACCACTCGGCCTTTCTTTTTTTCTTTTTTTCCTTTTTTTTTTTTTTTTTTACCATGAAAGACACATATATTCCTAGCAACTGAGCAGGCCGGGGACCTCACAATTCGACCCGGAGTTATCCCGGCAGCATCAGCCGGTTTAGCTTGTGTCTAAAAACCGTATCTTGAGAAGCTTATGGCAATGAAACACTTCATTATTAACTGCTCTCTGTTCAAGTCCTAAGTAAGAAACCGACTACAAAAAGACCTCTCTACTGAACTACTACTACTGTGTACACAGGCCTATAACGACCTGGATCTCCGTCTACCTCGACCGGACCCAGTGGAACAAAAGTTCCGCAATGGAACAAAAGTTCCGCAAAGGGATACTGACACTCTCCACCCACCACCCCTATGTAGACGACTGCGCCTGCGCACTGGAACCGAGTGCCCTGGTTCAGAAGCAAAACAAAGGGGGACCGGAACTAGCATGGTATGAACACAGGGGGGGTGGGGAGGTAGAAAGACATGGGTGAAGGGGGTGAAAGAGATGAGAGAGGGATGAAGGAGGAGAAGAATAAAGGAAGAAAGAACCTCTATCTAGAGCTTAAGCCAAGGTGAGATAGCCATTTCTCCTTCCACAGTAACTGCTGCCAACATGTTGTCCCTTGCCCAAGTGACCAGAAACCAGTGTCTTCCTCTGGGGGTTCGCCATCTTGCTGCAAGCCTGATCCAGTCCACTTGGATCATCATGCGTATCCAAGCTTTGATCTTTTGGATCAGGGCAAAGTCATTTGTCCATTCCTCCCGGAAAAGGATCTTGTTTCTGTCCTCCCAAATGACCCATATGATGACCGAGCGGATGGCTTGAGCGACGTAGCCCCTTCCTTTGTGCTTGAACCAGGTATCTCGGATCCTTCCATGCAGCGCCCAGTCCTCATCCCAGGGCAGGATAGGGCCCACAAATCCAAACCAGTGAGTCTCCCACCACTTCCAAATACGGCGTGAGGCCGGGCAGGACCAAAAGAGGTGCTGCAACGTCTCCTCTTGTCTTCTTCCACAGCGTCTGCACTTTGTCTCTATCTCCATGCCTTTTTCAAAGAGCCACACAGAGCAAGGCACTGAAGAGTGAGAGATCAGCCACAGTAGTCCCGAGAGTTTTAAGGAGGGCAGAGTTGAAAGTTGCGCCCAAAAGGTTCAAAGGTGCCTGTCGGAGATGGGGGTTACAGCAGTTGTTTGTCTGTTGAGTCGGGCAGCCACTTCTGATGGTAGGTCATTGGAGTTACAGAGCAATGTGCGACCTAGGTGGGTGGAGTACTGTGAGAGGTCTCTTCTTTGTCCTGAGGCTTGGGGATCAATTCTGAGCTCTCTCAGTGGTCTCCCCGCCAGCAAGAGTTTGTGTGAGCACTGATTAGGTACACTGCTGCTAGTTAAGACTCGTATCAGCTGCAGATTGCCCGCATCCTGAATAGATGTCTCTCCTTGCAGCTGCACCTTGGTAGTGGCAGGAGGTGTGGAGGCCTGCCATTCTTCTGCCAACCACGTGCCATCTTCTTGTTGTTCAATGATTCGTAATGCCGAGTTGTCCTCTGGGTTGTCCTTATTTCGATACCATTCCCCCTCAACTGGCCTTGGTGTTTGCAGTATCTCCCTCCGGTCTTGTGGAATCGCCTCTAACAGCAGTGGTCTTCTCTCTCGAATAAGGTGCAGGTTACCTAGTGTCTGTTTCAGCTTGTTGGTGGGGATCCAGTCCTCTTCTACTTCATCCCACAAATCCTCCAGCCGAACGATACCCTTCTCAACCCACCTTCTACCGAAGTTCCTTGCTGTAGATGTTGCTGGAAAACTCCCTCCTGGCGCGTTTGTGATTCTTGGGTTATCAAATATAGGCTGCCGCATCACTTCCTCCTGCGTCGTCGGTTCCTTGTGGTGTGGTGGGACGAGTGCCCGCCAAGCGGCCCAGCATGCTCTAGCCATCGGTGAGCTCAGGTGTCTTCGTGCCATTGAGGGCATAAAGACACAAGTCAAGACGTCCTCCCTCTTGCCACTGATAGTTCTTGGTGAAGGATAGATTCCAGCATTATCAACCATGCCCGACGTTCTGTTTGTGTTGCCGCTTTGAACAACCACTTCATGAGAAGAGCAATGTTTTGTTTTTCCGGGTCGAGGACGCCCAACCCTCCATCGTCCTTGGGAGCAGTCACCTTGGCCCATGCACACTTAGAAATATAGCCTTGACCTTCTTGTGTCGCCGGTTTCCACAGATAATGAGCAGTTGCAGTTGTGATTTGCTTGAGTGCAGGTTTAGAGATTAAGAGGATGGCTACAGCGAACCACATCTACGCAAAGACCACTTAGGTAATGAGCATGGCCCTCCCAAACAGCGAGAGTCCGATGGCTATGCTGCAACTTTGCAGGCTGGCTTGTGTTCTTGCGAACAAGATAGCATCTTGTTTGGGTCGTGCATCCTGCAGGGTAACCTGAACTCTTAGGTAGCGCTCCGAAATGCTGGGGGGGATATGCTTCATTCCCCAGTCTTGTCGTGAGAGGTCGTATCAGGCAGGGAGAAAGTAAACTGACTTTCCCCAGTTGACATGTGCTTCCGACAGGTTTGCATATTGATCAAAAACTTGTTTTGCCTCCTGCATCGATTGAGGGATAGCCTCCATGATGAGTAGCAGGTCATATGTTATTGCTCCCGTTAATAGGCGGTCATTTGTCCCCAGGTCCAGTCCTTGAATGTGGGGTGAAGCTCGAAGGGCATTGAGGAACACTTCCATTTGTAGAGCAAACAGCAGGGCTGCCAAGGGACAACCTTATCTCAGCGAGCGCGAGAGCGAGAAGGATGGCGACAGGAAGCCGTTAACACTGACTGTGGCGGTAGATTCTGAATATTGTGTTCCAGCGTTGCCAAGACAAAAGACCAATTGACGCGATCGTAGGTCGTTTCCAAGTCTAACTTGCCTCTGTTCTCTCTGGATTATCTCTAGTGCTCCCACGACCATCATAATGTTATCGGCGATGGAGCGTCCCTGCACAAAGGCTCCTTGGTCCGTGTGGACCAAGTCTGGGAGAAGGGTTGTCAGCCGCCTGACCAGCACTTTGGCAAATATCTTGTATGAGACATTGAGTCTGGAGATAGGACGCCAATTGCGAATGTTGCATTTGTCTCCCTTCTTATAGATAAGTGTTATAATACCCAGCTTCATGTTTTCTGCTAATTTTCCCCCTTCTCTGATCCGGTTGTAGAGTCTGAGCAGAATGGGCCCTACATGGGGCCAGACTGCTGCGTAGAACTCTGCAAGAAAACCGTCCGAGTCAGGGCTCTTGCCCCGTGCCATGCTCTTAACTGCCTCCCATAGCTCTTCAAGCGTGATTGGCTGGTCCAATCTGACTCTTGTTTCTTGCGAGAGGTCCGATTGGGTGTGCTGCCACAGATTATGTTCCTCCGTGAACTCTTGTAATGTCTAGTCCGGTTGGCGGCGAGATGTGAGTATATCATTGAAGTAGGTGAGTGCGTACTCACCTATAACCTTGGAGTCTTTGGCTGCTGCAGCTTCTGAATGGAATGGATGTTGGAGCTCCCTTATCAATGCGTGCGAGCGTGGTGGACAGAGACGTTGGAAAGTTTCGTTGGTCATGCGATCGCCCGTCAGCATTCCTCTTTCTTGTGCTCGCTTGGCCCAGAGGATTTGTTGTTGGATCTGCAGGTCCTCTAACTGTTGTAATGCCTGATTTCTTCTCCGCTGCCAGTACAGCTCAGCCAGTGGGCTTAATGTGAGCTCTGCATCTGCCTCTTCGACTATCCATCTGCATTTCTGCTCCTGCTGTCTCCTCGCTCTTGCTTGTATTCTTGAGAAAATATCCAAGGCTCTTGTCACCGCCCGGAACCCCACCTGCGTCCACTCTTCTTCCGTTGTGAACCATTCCTTTGTGCGTTGCTAGTCCCTCCAGTGATTCTCCACCCATTGTAGCACCTCCGGACAGTTGAGGAGTTTTGTGTTCAAACGAAAGGTCCCTGGTCTCCTGCTCAAATCGTCTGCTAACTCGAAGGTAGCCACCAGCGGTCTGTGGTCTGAGAGATACTCAATATAGCAGTCGACCGTAGTGAGAGCCTCCCACGCTGCGCCTTTGGCCAATAGCAGATCCAATCTTCTCTTTGGTGGCAGGCGATCATCGGTTTGCTGTGAAGAAAACCAAGTGTAGCCTGCCTTCAAAGGGTGAGTTGTTCTAAAGGTGTCTACCAACTGTTGTTGCTCCATCAGATTGGAGAGTGTCACTGCATCAGCCTTCCTTGGGGTCACCTTGGCGATTTTTTTTGTTTTGACATTGGGCCTTTCTGGATGGCATCCACTGCAATCGGCACCGCTGGGATGAATCTGACCTCAAACAGGTCCACAGCTCAGCCAAAAAAGACGTTTGTGTGAGGACGAAGCTTGCCACACACGCACCACATGTCAACAAATAGATATGAATCTTCCTCAAGAACATGGAGAGATACAGAGGCATAATATTTTTTGTTTTATGCGTTGGTGAGCAGAGCGGCGGGCAGCTATGCCCTTCTTGCTTTCGCTCCACAGTTGTAGGGCATCGCCACATCACTCTTTTTTTCTTTTTTTTTTTAAGTAATCTTATATTCTTCTCTCAATCTTCTTCTTTTTTCTGTATATATATTCTTCTTCTTCTTCTTTTTTTTTTTTTTTTTTTTTTGGACCATTTCTCGATTTATGCGTGTCATCCTTGCGCAGCAGGGCCCATGCTAATCTTCTCTGTATCGTTCCAACGAAGGACTGTATATATATTCTATCCCATCCTCTCGCTACTCTATGTTTTTTTTTTTTAATCATCCTTCATTCCATTTCAAAATATTGAAGAGGCCAGGGACCTCACATTTCAACCCGGAGTTATCCCTGCAGCCTCAGCCGGTTTAGCCTATGGAAACCAGTTCCTACTTCTACAAAACACTGCTTTTAGGTCAATCTGCAAAAATCACTGGAAAAAAAAATCCTACTTCCTTGCCCATAACATCTGCAAACTCTACTAGCCCAATTTCCCCAATCCTACCACTCACCTAAAAGTAAAAAAAAAGGACCTACTGTTTGGTCCGGCCTAACCCGGCCTGTTGCGGCCGGGAGTAACCCAAACCCAAGTTCCATTCTTGTAACCTGACCCTCTCCAACCACCCATCCAACTGTTGGTCTACTGTGGCCACCCACAGGAACCCCGTGTCCTGGTTCAGGAACCTGTCCATCCCCTACCCACAAATCCTCCAGGTCTACTATATCCGCACACTGGTAGCAGTCAGTGTCTGTCCACCGCTACTCTATCCCACTGTCCCGACAGCCAAGGGGAAATGCAGAGCTTGCCCTCCCAGGTCATGGCAGCCAGTCATTGTCCCGGGACCATGCAACCAGGAACCCGTGGCGTCCTCCTGGCGTAGTACCTTTCTTCTCCCCCCTCTGCTCCAGTCCATCCTGATCATAATCCGTATCCAGTATTTGATCTTTTGGATGACCGCTGTGTCATTGGACTGCTGCTTCCAAAAGAGGACATTGTTCCTGTCCTCCCAGATCACCCAGATGATCACTGAACCGATCGCCTGTGTATAGCAGGGCCTGGGAATTCAATAACCTGTCGAAATCTGGACAAGACGGGCTTGTATATAGTAGGGCCCGGGAATTCAATAGCACGGCCGGGGAACACCAACCAACCAAACCTGGAACTATTCCCAGCCCACGGCCCGGGGGTAGGTTTGCAACGTTGCACCACAGCGGTGGTGCAATTATGCAATAGCAAATTTAAGCAAGTATCACCCGGTCATCAGGGTGATGCAGGGTGATGAGGCATTGCCCACGGGGAAACAAGGCTACTACTGCGTAGCATCTTTGGCCAGTCTCACTCGCACCTCCCCCCTACCACTCTCCAACCCCACATTAGGGGTGTCTCATGGCCTATATCAGAGCTGCGTATCAACCAACAATACAATATTCTGGTCATCTTATTGTATCTTGATTCGAACTGGGCGCTTATTTCAACACTTCGTGGGTGTACCAACTGAACTGAACTACGCCAGCCTCCTTGGTCAGATTCAGATGCATTTCGAGTGACGGCGGATGGCGAGTGATGCACCCACGCAATCGCGCGGCTTCCTTTAGTTTTCTTTCCAAATGTGCGAAATCGAGAACGTATCTACGGCTAGAACGTCCTTAAGATACATCCACGATGTTTTTTGTCCTTTTTCCTTTTCACATCCGTCCGCGATTTGGCGGCCAGTTGTCCTGTCCGACACTCCCGCCACTGCCACTGATTGCCTGTCCTTTTTTTTTTTTTTTGGGATTGCCTGTCAAGTATAACGACCTCCCTTCCCGACTCCCGAAATGTGCAAAACGACAGCGCACCTTCCGCTAGAACGTGGAAACATACACTGCCATGATTTTCGTCCTTCGTGGAATGTCGAGAGTAGTGGAGCGAGGCCCATATAATACCCACGGTGGGCGAGGTCCCAATAGCAAAGAGGATTGGATTGAATACCTGCATCTGGACACGTCTGGGGAAAAAGGTGCAGAAAATCGAGATTGAATTGTTTTTATGCACCTCTGCTTAAAACACGTCCAGATTCAGGAGATTACTCTAATCCTCTTTGCTAGTGGAACATTGCCTCATGTCACTTAGTGCACCCATGAACTCTTTAAAATAACAGACTCCAGTTCCTGTCTCTTATACACATCTAGATGTGTATAAGAGACAGGTTTTGTGGTCTTCGTAGCCCAGGAAAAAAAAAAAAAA